ATTTTGATTCAATGCAACAAAATAAACAAATTTAAAAGGCAACAGATCATTGTAATACTTGGTTTATTACATAATGACTTTAATTGTTGGATGTCCGGCCCCTGAGCTGCTGGCTTTCAGAAACTGTGACCCTCTGAGCGGTTTTGTTGAATAGTCCTGCTTTAAAGGTTTGATGTATAAATGCAAAATATGCACACTTATTAAAAACAGAACATAAAATAAGAAAACCATCACATAGCCAATGGAGACTTACTTAAAATGGTCTTGTAAAGCAACATTAAAGTCAAATGAGTCGCCGCGATCTGCGAACCCCAACCCGATAAAAGCATGACGTCCTTTAAAGAAAGAAAGAAAAATAAAACGAGGATTAGAGTACTTCATGGCTTCAATCTCTCTTCTTTAGAGAACACAGATATAAGCCGATGTGGGCACATTCAGATTAAACCTACATGTTTTTTTTACTTGGGTGTAAAAGTAAGACAAATCAAATATCACATGAAAATCATTTGACTTTACGTATAGTTCTCAAGCGGTGGTACAAGTACCACTGGTAGTACACAGGATCCCTTTAGTTACATACACTCTGAATAAATGTGACCCTAACCCAGATGAAGGATGCAGTTTAAGATATGATGGTTTTATGGATTTATTGATCAGAAAGGCACCACATATACTACAGTCTTGGCTTTTTTTTTACTCCCGCTCAACAACTAAATACATACATAAGATATTTTAAGTCAAATGTCCTCACTGTTGTACACCTTTTGTTGCCATCAAGTCTTAAAGAGACTTTACTGAGTGACCACCGGAACATCAGTTTACTGTTTTCTACTCCAGGGGGTTCTCTAAACTTTGTTTTTTATGATTTTTTTTTTTGGAGCTAAATTTGTAGCCTTTACCACCACTCATCATTTTGGCTAGTTCAAAAAAAAATTTTAGCTTCACGTCACAAGTCATCTCATGATATTTAGGGTACGATTATGGTTAGGAGATTTACCTGTTTGTGTCAGTATGAATATGAGCTTGTACAAATAATATATTGTCTGTCACTGAAGGTGATACTTGGAGATCTTAGTAAGGTTTGTGATGGTACCTGGTACAGAGAGTTTGACATTCATTTCAAAGTTTATTTTTAGTGTTGCCTTACCGTTGCCGTCTTCTATCCGGATGACAAAGTACCGGCTGGAGTCTGTGACTGCTTCAACCACGCAGCCTGGATACTGATCAACTGGAGCTTGTGCAAACAGCTCTCCTGCAAAAATAAAAAGTTCACACCCAGCACAGCCTCTGGATTAATTCATGCCACAACAAAAATAAGATCAGCACGGGATAAACTGTCATTGCTATGTTGATGATACTCACTACACTGTATTTATCCATGAAACCTGAAGAGTCCAATCAGGTCTCTAGATTAAAAAGTCTTCGACTGATTCAAAATGCTGCTGATAGAGTTCTGATTAGAGTTAAAAGGAGAGATCACGTTTCTCCAGTTTTAGCTTCTCTCCATTGGCTCAAATTCAGAAAATAATTTAAAATCTTGTAAGAAATAAAGCTCTCAGCAACCAAGCTCCATCTTAAATTAAAGATCTTACTGTTCTATATTTTCCTAACAGAGCACTTTGTTCTCAGATTGCAGGTTAATTTGTGGTTCCTAGAGTTTCCAAAAGTAGAGCGGGAAGACAAGTTTTCAGAGGCTCCTCTCTTGTGGAACCAACTTCCAGTTTCTGTCTGTGAGGCTGACACTCTGTCTACTTTTAAGACTAGACTTCAGACATTCTTTTATGATCAATCCTATAGTTAAGATTGACTTGGGTTTCCAGAGCTATCCCTTAGTTATGCGGCTGACCGACTGAGGCCAAAATGACCAATAATTTCTTTCCTATTTGTTGTTCAGGATGGAAAACTGGGACAAAGTGAAGTTCCAACACAACCTTCTGGCTTCCTTCGATAGATAACTCTTAACTAATTGGTTCTAATAATGTATGTGAATGTTTTTGTACAGTACCATGAGATGAGGTTTGTTGTGAATTGGCACTATATAAATAAACTAAAACTTAATTAAGAGGTGTAAAAATACCAACTTTAATGATGGTATAGAGGATTTTAAGACTTTCAAACCAACTTTCATTGACTCCAGCTAAAAGTGAAACAGCATCAAGAGATGCACCCCATCAAAACACAACAAAGAACAGACAGACACACACACACACACACATATATATATATATATATATATATATATATATATATATATATATACATACATACATACAGGAATAACGTCGTTTTACATGTTGCAGGAAACCAACAGTCACTACAGAACTATCCTTGTGTGGAAAATATGTGTTCTAAACAAATTACAATGTTCTGTTTTTTCCTGTGAGCCAGTTGTAATCCTAAAGTTCACACAAAAAAAAAACATATTAGCTGTGGCATTGAGGATTAGACTTGTTATGAGCAGAATTTAATTTATAGACTCTCTGTATAGAGTACACGGCAGGATTTTTTACTTAGTTTCTGTCTACATTAATCACAGAAGTTCAATAATCTGCTGAGAATGGAGAGCGTGAAAGGATTTGGACATTACTATGGGACAGATGAGACAAACTTTTGTGGTCATACTGTATGTCGAAGTGTTCCTGGGCAAGACATTAAACCCCTCATTACCTCCAATGTGTGTCCCTTTGGTGTATGATTATGATCTAAAGCACTGATTACAGAATAACATTCAGATTTGTTGCGACAGAAAAGTGCTGTATGAACGTGTGTAGACGGGTAAAGGAGGGTACAGACTGAGCTGTAAAGTGTTTTGGGTGGCCTGGTTGGCTAGAAAGGCACTATATAAGTGCAGTCCATTTACCTAAATAGCAGGTAATTAACTCCTTTGCACAGCCTACAAACTTCTGAAAACTTTCCTCCCATGTCTTAAAGTAAAAAGTGTTTTTCTAATGCCATTCTTTTTATTTTCCCATATCAGCACCTTCCAATTAATTAAACCTGTGATTCTTATAAATTAAAAAGCCTGACTGAATTGTGTATTTAATGCAACAAAACACAAAATGACACAAAACCACAAAACAGAGACAGACCATAATTATTGGAATATGACTCCTCAGAGTTTTAGACTAATATATAAAAAGCCCGGCTGTGTTGAACACGTAGTAAAAGCCCCAGGAATTATGTTGTGTAGCTCAAGTTTCTTTTTGGTGGATCTATACATCTCCTCCTCTATTGCACGTTTACCTGTGTTTTTGTCTTCCAACTTGATGAAGGCCATCTTGCCTTTAGCAGTAATTTTCATCCTACCGCTCCACGCCGGTTCGTCCAGCTTCCAGTCAGCAGCACTAAACAAAAAAAACCCAGCAAAAATGGTGTAAATCCAGGAACAACCGATTCAGTGTTTGTTTCAACATATGTAGTTAAAAACATCATGAGGAAGTGAAATTATACTGCCAGGAAGACAATGTCAAACAGTAACTTTTTTTGCTTCAGATAATTAAAAAAAACATCTCATATAGATAACACCTGAAACAGCTGTGAAAAAGATTATTTGTTCAAACTGTTGCATTTACTTTAACAGCTTTTCCACTCCAGCAGGACGGACTACTTTCAAATGTGATTACAACACAAAGCATGTGGTTCTTTCAAATGGTTATCAGGTCCTGAGCTGAAAAAGTTTCACAGACAAACATACAAGGTTTCGCCCACACCTACGAACGTTTTTCTCTTCTATAGAAAATATTCTAGTTTAAAAGTTAAGTAATTAAATAAAATAACTCAAAGGTTACTTAACTTCTCTCAAAGCTTTCAGCAGCATCTCATGTTTGTTTGTTTTTTAATCAACTTGAATTGCTGGAAACTCCAAAGAAAGTCAAATTTAGGGGCTTTCCCCCCCCCAAACAACACGTTTCAGAAACTTTAATATAATTTTACTATTATAGAGTAAAGACGCTGTTTCTACTGAACAAGATGTCGATTCACAGTAAAGCAGGTCATGGTCACCTCAAAATGCTTGAACTGAAGAAAACTATTATCGTTTTCAAAAACCAGACAGAAAAGTTCAATAGACTTCTGTATAAACTTTACCCTAACAAAACTAACAGTACAGCTGTTGAGTTCTTGTTTCCAAGAAAAACTAGCGAGCCACAGGAAGAAAAACAAAACTTTAACAAGTGTCCCATTTCCGTGAGGTCTCCAACTTTGTAAGCCAGCTGCCAAGAGGGTTTCCTGAAAGGTTCACATATGATATATACTTTTATCTAAAGAGTAATAAGCGACTAAAACGGACATAAACTGTTGCGCTGACTCGGAAAAATAATGTTTTGAAAACGTGTAACTTGTTGACAGCTCGCTTGTCCGATGATGGACGTATGGTCCATAAATAGCCCACCGACCAACTTTCCCACCGACTCGTCGATCAGCTTTCTTACCGATATCCGCGATTTGAAGCACGCGGTGGGATCCGGTAAACATGAACCTCTGGCTTTACGCACAGCATTGACTCATAACTGTCGTCCTCTGCCATCTTGTTAAGTTTCACAAACCAAACACACACACCACTACTTCCGACTTTCAATGGACGCTTCAAGTGCTGCTCGGCAGAGTCGAAGCCGCGGCGCTGGATTTTAACAGCGCCACCTGCCGGTCAGGAGGTTTCACTGTCATGGCCAAAACACAAAACTGCAGAACGAAAAGAGCGCAGAGGATAAAAAAAATAATGTGCAAAGCGCATTTTTTTCCGTTTAGAGTTCAAGAGAATAGCCTTGAAGCTTACCATAATTAGAACTCTGTCAACTTGTTTGTATTTAGCTACTAAAAACAAGTAAAGCAGCATAAGTATTGTTAAAAATAGAAATGTCATAACTAAATACAGTCAGGGGCGCCTCCCGAGACCTTTAAAAGGGGTGTTCAGATGGGGGTCAAAAGCCAGAACAAATTTAGGAGATTTTGTTTTTGGTCATACGTTTTTTAAAATATGGCAATATGAGTGTTAGCTTCAATTCAATGCAGCTTATTTATATAGCGCCAAGTCACAACAGAAGTCATCTCACGGCACCGAACAGAAACATTAATATACATAAAGTAATTATTTATCTGAGGAGCATAAATAGCCTACATGTTAATTTTTTTTAAATTATAATCCTCTATTTTTTTAAATATTAATATGCATAAAATCTCCTGACACCCTGCATTCTTTTATTGAGAACACTTAATGTTTTATGCTGTTCAGCTCAGATCAAATGTCCTTATTCAGGAAGACGAGCTTTTACTTTTATTTCTAAAAATAAACATTTCTATTTCTAACTATCAATTGTTCCAAAACACATATACATACATATAGATCAGGGGTGTCAAACTCCAGGCCTCCAGGGCCGGGCCTGGAGTTTAGTATAGTATAGTATAGTGTAGTGTAGTATAGTATAGTGTAGTATAGTATAGTTAGATAGATGGTTAGATGGACGGACGGACGGACGGACGGACGGACGGACGGACGGACGGACGGACGGACGGACAGACAGACAGACAGACAGACAGACAGACAGACAGACAGACAGACAGACAGACAGACAGACAGACAGACAGACATACCGTATTTATGAGGTTTTATAATGGATAGGAGAAATTAAAAATGCACACAAAAAAGTTTTGGACGGGTAAGACTGCATGACCAAAAGTAGACAGGGGCATCAATTTCTTAAAGATGGCCATTAAAATGGAAAGTGCATCAAATCAATTTGTAATAATTTGAGGCTTTTTCTCAGATGAATGCTCCTTAATCAAAATCAAAACAAGAAATATTAAATGTACAAAGATAATTTAATGTTCATATTAACATTATACATTTTAAATGTTTGACTTCAATAAAAAGAAGTAAATCTGTAAAACAAGTAGTACCAGTAGCAACTTAGTGGTTTAAAACGATGATTCAAATGAATTAGACGTGTCCAAATGTTTGACTAAAAGTGTTTAATTTTGCTTACGATGCCAAGTGTATTTTACAAAAAGCAAAAATGCCAAGAGGAGTACGTTTGTGTTTTTATTAAAGGGTTTTCTTCAAGTTTCAAAACAATGACATCAAATGAGCTTCAAACTAGACGTCTGGCTGTGACTGAAACAAACATGAGCTGATCACACCAACACAAAATGGGTATCTGCTGATCGATTCAAATCCCTTTAGAGTCCATACCTGAACCAGATTGTTAATAATAATAATTTAAAGCATTCATAAAGTCAATTAGCAGAACCAGATCACAAAGAACAGTTTAAACTACTGTATATTTCAGACGATAAGGCGCAATATCAATGAACGGCTCTGTTGTCATACATAAGGCGCACCGGATTATAAGCTGCATTAAGCGAAACAAGTTCATTTTGACAGATTTTTGAGTGCTGTGTACCACATCAAATCAGTTCGAGGTCAGTAAGCACAACCAGAATTAATACACAAGTCGCACCAGATTATAAGGTTCACTGTTGATTTTTGACAAAATTAAATGATTTTAAGTGCACCTTATAGTCTGAAAAATATGGTAAGGTTCAAATAAAGCCACATAAAAGTGTAATTATCTTATAATAAAAAAGGTGGGCCAATTTATTTTCCTTCCTTAACCGAGTTTTGAATAAATGCAGCACTTCTACAAAGTTGTCCTGCAGTGCAGAAAAACAGACTGTGAGCAATAGTTTGAATTCATTCTTGTTAAAGCTCAAGCGTAAGAAAAGCACAAGACTCACTGAAAGTGGTTGTCATTTTTCTAAAAACTCAGCCATGGATTGTGTCTCTGTCAAGTACCATTTATTACTGAAACCTATAAAAAAAAAAAGATTCAACAATAAACCAAAATACCGTCAAGAGAGTGCTTGTTGGCAAGCAGAGGACATTTATCATTTAAGGCATAAAAGATTCAAACACACTTGGTGTTTGTCTTCCCTTTTAATAACAAAACCATCTATCAGTGTTTGTAACTCCACAATATTTAACTATATTAATAATTTTATAGTTTAACTCGAGTTTTGAATTTGTTGACAACGAGCTCTTAGTAAAATCCTGCTGTGTGGAAAAACACCACAGGAAGACATTCGTCAAAACCAGTTTAATTTCAAAGAGCGCTGACTAAAAGGTAAAGTTTTCATCATAAATGTCTTTGATGCTGGCAAAATGTTGGTGTCTGGCCAAAATATAACATATATCCCTCTCCAACTGGGCCCAATATAACCATTTCTGTATAATTTACATGAATAGCAGTGTGTAACAACACAGTCAGTATGCTGCCACTGATGATACAGTACATGTGACTGTAAGACCCTCTGATTTTATACAGCTGGGCAGCACAGACGAGACTTAGCTAAGAAGATGTTTCCAGTTCTAAACTTTAGACAGTTTGATCAAATTAAATCTAAAACCACAAATAAATGTTCTTATTGCAACCTAACTTTCTGAACACACTACTGACCTTCTGATTTAAATACACTGTCACAGAAAAAGAAAAGACATTTTAACATTTTAAAAGAAAAAGTTTAAAGGAAACACAACCCAGGAAGTAATTTTAGTGTTATTGCTTGTAAAAACGTCGATGTGGCGACCCAGTCATTTGGATCGCAGCTTCGGGCCAGAGGCTGTGTACCAACCAGACCTTTCCTTTAGCTACTGGTGCTGAAAACGGGCCTGTGAGCTGAGAAACGTTCTGCTCTGAGCCACAGCCACCATGTGCATTATTAAAACTTTATTCAGCACTGTGCACTTTCACAGAAAAGGTCCAATCAGCACATCTTTCTATAACCTTGCACTCGGCCTGCTGAACACACAGTCACTTCTTGGCACTGTAAAGTACTTAATTGTCTCTGAACGCAGCAACAAACTAAGGCCATTCTCCCTTTGGACACCCAGCCATGACCTTTGCTCCTTCAGCGGAAAACAAAAAAAGCTCATAAGCTTGCACAACTCTGAAGATCTCCCACAGAATAACAAACTCTCCTTATTCTCCCTGAAGTGACGAACACCAGATGAACTGGTGCATGGCCGGCTGAACACTTGACTTGAAATCTCACAGCACATCCGACTCTCACAGTGTAGGGGCGGTGCGACCAAAGCTTGTTCAAGCTGAGAACAGAAAGGGTTTCAAATCTTTGATCTCTGCCAGCCTCTGGCAAGCTTCCACCGACGGAAACAACAAGGCTGGAGGCAAAGATCAAACCAGTGAGCAGAGTAGAGAGAGAGAGGGAAGATGCTCATTTAAGTTCATGCCATGTCTTCATATTCCTCCTGTCAGTCAAATCTGAGGTCATCTCACCACTCTGCTCTCTAAATCACACACTAAACCTTTTTAATTCCCCCACTGGACCCGGCTCTCTCAGGGAAGAAGCTGTTTCCTTGCAACAAGCAGCTCCAGTTTATCTGCAGAGTCGGAAGCCCGTGGTGCCATCTGGACCAGTGGGTTGACGGATTACCTGATTGTTTGGACAAACTGTTTCTAAAGGTTGTTGCACACTCATACGAGCGGTCCTGCAAACAGAAGAAATAAGAAATAAGCACTCCTTGTGCATTTTGTACTTTCAGTTTGCCTCATTATGTCTTACCTATCCTGGCTTGGATTGTCCTGAGGCGTTTCTTCTGAAGATGCACTGCCCAAAATCCTTCTTCGGGCTTCTGCATATTCTGCCTCTCTTTGGGCCAAAGACTTCATCTGTTGAGAGGGGCGAGAGGATGCAGAGTTTCCTGTGGTACCATTATTGGAAGGACGTTTTAAAATTCGAATCTGAGGCGGAGGGGCTGCAGGCAGAGAGTCATCTTGGATTACAATGGCAGTCCGCACAGGAGAACCACTGGACTTCAAATTGGACTTCCTGCAAGGATAGGAAGATAATACAATTAATGCCATTCAAAAAAAATAGTACAGAAAGAAATTATATTTGAAGCCTCGTCACTTACTTGGCCTCCTGATTTATTTTCAGTTTCGCCTCAAGTCTTCTCTCAATTTCCTAAGGATAAATAATGGCATTAATTAATCAATCTACTAATCTTTTTCCCAGCAAACTTGTATCAAAAGACCTGTTGAGTCAACTGAAAAAGAAATACTGAATAAGACTTAAATGACTAACTGTACGTGGTTCACTATTGTCTTGTAAGTTATCTGTACTCTGGCCTTGTTAAAACTCCCGCACAACGTCAGATAATAAAAACAGTGTTACTAGAGTGGATAACAAAATGTGTATTAGTGTTGTCTTCTCTGTTGATAAGGCATAGGTGCACAGATGAATGATTCTGTATTGTAGCTCCAAAATCATTATATTATGCTATTTCCATGCAATGTTTGGCAATTTAATTGTAAACATCTGTAAACAAATATGATGATTATTATTGTTATTACCATATTAGACCTAGTTGAATGGGTGTCTCAACCAATAAATTCAGGTTGTTTGTATGATGAACAACAATGTTATAAAGCAGGAATTGAGCCACAACAGTGACGTTGACAGCCACATACAAACACGATAACGCAGACAAACACCGGTAATTAAAAAAACATAAGAACAAAAACAAAGTTTACAGATTGCCTGAATCAGATCAGTCTATTTAATTGCTTTAGAGACACATTAACCTGCTCCAACTACTTGCTTCTGTCTATTTTTTTTTTTTTTAAGTTCCGCATTGGGTGGAGCTAAATGCTGTTCGGGAAAAGTAGTTTATTGTCATTTTTAGTTTCATTATCTTGAGCAAACACAAAATCACAAGGAAAACACTGTGGAGCCTGCTTAAGGAAACAAACCATAGAAACATGTGGATGTCTCCAGCCTGTAATTTGTCTAGTGCCTGCTTAAGTACCGAACTCAAAATCTGCCATGTGTTACAAATTAGCAGCAGAGTTGTGTCCAACTCACCCCGCTGTCCGCTGCTTCTTCCCAGCTCTCTGCTACCTCCTCATCCTCCATGTTTAACAGGACTCTGGTCTGGCTGCCTTAGCTCCTCCAGGAAGTTGTATCCTATGCAAGCCGAGGGCATGAAACAGTTAGCAGCACTGATAAGGGAAACTCGGCGTCTCGTATTCTAGATGAACAGGAAATTTCACAAACCTTTCTTTAGCCGCGTGTTAGCTTGTTTAGCTAATGCTGAGAGGACAATCCTCCGTCTGTCCGCGACTTACAATTGATCGTTACCAACACCTCACTGAACTAAGCCCGTCCACTGAAGCTTCACGGAAAAGATGAAAACTGTAAGCCAACAACAAGCGGAGAGGCGTGACACATAATGTTAACGCTAAGCTAGGCTAACGCTCTCAAATGAACCCGTTTAGACCGAGGAGCGGAAATTACGTCATGACGTCAGCTAACAACTGCAGCGTCCACTGTATTCAGTCTTAAACTTCAAAAACGTTTATGTTAAACAAAATGTGTCCATTTTGACAAGTTTGAGTAATACTTGAAGTTTATTAAAATGTCTAAAACATGCTTTGGTCATACGTATATAAAGTCTAAGGTCAAACTGCCCCCCACTAAAGAGGCTTCAAATCTCAGCTGGAGACAGCTTTTGTATATTTATGGGCATTTCCATGAACTTCATTTTTCTCCTACAGTCCAAAAAAATGCATTTAAATTTAAAGAACCATTCTAAATTAATCTTAGGTGTGGGTGAGTGGCTGGCTTTATCTTTGTGTTGGTCCTGGCTCTCACCACCCGTAGCGAAAAGTAGTTTATTTAAGTATACTGTATACTTATTTTACACTAAAAATGAGGAAGTGTAATTGAAGTTTACTTTTTATAAACTTTATTTGACATACTTAAAAATAGTATAAAAATGTCCCAATTTAGTCCAAACAAGTATTAAATAAGTTTAGTACACTACAAGTATGGTGTGTAGTATTTGATATACTTAACTTGCAACAAAAAAAATACTTGCAAAAATAAACTTCAAATGTACTACTTTTTGCTAAGGGCCGACACATTTTGCTAGACAAAATAACAAGGCACAGGCCTCTCTTGCAAAAGAGATCTGTGATCTCAATGGGATTTGCCTGGTTAAATAAAGGTTAATAAATTAATAAATAAAAGACAGCCAGGGAAGAGCTTCTACTGCTACAGTTTGTGCTTGCTCCTAAGGGAAGCTAAAGCAGGTACATAAATTGAGTAAGTAAATAAAAATTTGCAAATGTAAAGCAAAACATAGCTGTGAAAAAAGTTTTGGTTTTCTTTTTACCAATGTACAATACAACATTTTAAGGGGAAAAACAGATACAACAATATTCTAAAATGCTTTAGTGGGGTAAAAATAATTAAGAGAAATTTGTTCTTTCCTTATTTTTTAGGTTTATCTCGTAAGTTTGCTAGTGTATGTAGTGATGTAGGGTTAGGTTAGCTTCAGAGGCAGGTCTTGACTGGAGGCTTATTTCACTACATGTATGACAAAAAAATGTGACTGAGTGAAATGCAGACTGGTCTGAGTAGTTCACTTTAGAAGATGATCACAACATTTTTATGTTTCACCCAGTTACAGATCTATCTATCTATCTATCTATCTATCTATCTATCTATCTATCTATCTATCTATCTATCTATCTATCTATCTATCTATCTATCTATCTATCTATCTATCTATTTATCTATCTATC